TCATTGATACGTCCCCGTGTTACGTACCGTATAGAAACGCTTCCGATCCATTTGACGCGCTCCATATGCCGCATTTATTATTAGGCCACCCCGATTCGCGCAATCCGCGATGTAAGCGCTAGAGAATAAGAGAGGAAGAGAGAGAGAGAGAGAGAGAGAGAGAGAGAGGGAGAGAGAGAGAGAGCTAATTATATCGCCAATCAATATGGACCCCGAATCCGCGCGAGATCGACGGGTATCCTCGCGGGACGATCCTTCCAGGGGGAATAGTCGATGGGGGTGCTCTTCCCCCGCTCCGATGCCGATATCGAATCCTCGGGGGCACCGCTGGCACCCCGATCGTCACCCCTCGCCTCCTGGACATCGTCGCCGTCGGCGGCTCCGCCGCGACGCCTAGCCAGGAGAGACGCCGTCGATTCTTCGGGCCGCCGCCGTCGCTGCCGTCGCGCACCGGGGGTGGTGGGTGGTGCGGCCGCGCGCATGTTTCTTCTCCGACGGAAGCGGATCGATGCTGAAAATAGCTCGGCCCGCAAGAGAGTACGAGGTGAGTCGCCTTCGCTTTCGGCAGGGCCAACGCGTCTCTCCCGCCGGCGTTCGTTCGCACCGAACAGGCAAATAATTTACTCGCGTAACTCGTCACCTGCAACTTCCTGTCTGTTCAATCTTCCGTATCCGGCGCGGCCGCCGCCGCCGCCGCCGCCGCCGCCGACGTCGCTGCCACCGCCGTCGTCGTCGTCGTCGTCGCCGCCGCCGTCGTCGTCGTCATCGTCGTCGTTCTTCTCTCTCTCTCGAACCGAACACGCCGGCTGCGAGTACGAAGCCACCTCGAGCCGCGACCCGGGACCCAAGTCGAGCGGGATGACGCGAAAAAAATGTGCGCCGTACCAACGTGGCTGATGAGGCTGAAATCGTGAGTATTGCGCGAGCCCGGCTCGCCGGAGGCCGAAGGGCCTGCCGAAAGGCGATACGAGGGTGCCCACCCCCGGCGGGCGCCCTCGCGTATTCGTCGCTCGGATTGATCGCCGTTCTCCGGCGTCCCCCTGCGATCCTAATCGCGCGCCGCGCCGTCAAAGGCCGCGTTTCATTTCCGCGCGTGGATCTCCGCCGAGGGTCTACGCGACGAGTGCGCGCCCGCGGCTCTTTGTCCATTGATCTCGCGCCGTCGTTACGTCGCCTCGGCGTCCGACGCGGAACGCTCTCCTCCGGAATGAAACGCGGCTCCGTCCACGCGCTCGCGGGCCTGGACGGAACGTGCGTAATCCACGCGACCCCGAACTCCGTCGCGAGCACCGGCTGCGCGTTTAATTAACGTCGCCGCGAGCCGACGCTCCCTGTGCCGCGTCTCCGCCGGTAGAGAATAGAAAGGACGAGAGAAGAGAGACGGGGACAGTTCGGTGTAAATCGCAACGCGCCTGATCTCGCGCATCAGCGGCCCTTTAATTTTCTCTTCGGCCGCCAACGGTAGCTTGAAAAGGTCTTTAAGGCCAATCGGCGACTCACTGCGCTTCAGCGATAATCCACTGATTGATTCTGAGTGTTTGATCTACAAGATAATCGCTTAATGATACACTCCTCTTCCCGTGACTGGTCTTCATTTCGCCGGGATTCCGGAAAGGGTGGAATACGAATTCCACAATCTGGTTCCGGTTTCCCGGACACCCTCGATCCCTGTCTTCAGCCTGGACTCGCGTTTGAAACGCACTCGAAATTACCAGCGACGCGGGTCGTCGGAGAGTCTCAGGCGGACCCGCCGCCTTCGGGGGCGCTCCTGAGGAGCCGAAATGTCACGGACACGCCAGTTAGCGACTCGACGTCCTACGCGGGAACTCGTGTGTTCAATTCGTAGACGCCCTTGACGCGAATCCTCGGCGCGGCGCGGCGTACCCTTTTCCACCGAATTTCTCGAATAAAATTTATAGACGCGCGAGAACACGCGCGTGTCTCCCGAGGCGCCCCCGTTGGCCCCCGATGGATGCGGTGACCACCACCGTGGACTGCAACGGGAGACCGCTTTGGGAGACCTGATCGATCACGGCGCAGGGAAGGCCGTCTTCGGCAGCCCTCGCTTCCCGTTCCTGTCCCGGCTGATCGAGTGCACCGCCGCAAGGACGGCGCTTCTCGCCAACACGCTGGCGTTTATAGAGTATTGATTTTTATCGCCGCGTGTTGCGTACTCGAATTCCCGCCGCTCTCCTCTCGTGACAAATTCGAGACCCTTGTAATCAGTGAATGGCCGTAAGAGTTCGTCAAATTCCCGCGAGTGAGAGACGCACGATTCTACGATCGTAGAAGAGTGAGATAGCCCTCTTAAGCCCGTATCAGACTACAGACTCCCGACTCTGACTCGACTACTGACTCGGACCACTGACTATGATTCAACCAATTAGAGTGGCGTCTATTCCCGAGTCGGCAGTCAGGGTCGGCCGGTGCCTTGCTGCGATTGGTTGAATCATAGTCGGGAGTCCGAGTCAGTAGTCGAGTCAGTAGTCGAGTCAGAGTCGAGAGTCTGATGCGGGCTTTACGGCCAGTCTCTGATTACGGTCTCTAGTGCAAATCCGTCTCTCCCCTAGCACAGTGCATTGACCAAACATTGGCCCGATATTTGGTTGCGTCGGGCCAACGTTTAGCCAGTGCGCTGCGCTGCTAGGGTCGCGGCTCTGTCGCAAGTCGGTGCGGGTTCCGGTGTTCTAAAAAAAGCGTTACTCTAGATCAGCGTTTCTCAAACCGGTGCCGCGAACTAATGTACTTCTCGTAGTTTACCTTGACCGCGCGAAATGGAACACGCTTCGCCCTGTTGGGTTTTCGCGGGAGGGTCGCAGAGTATCAATTTTACTCCTCTCGCGTTCGCGTCGTCGTCCGTTTTCCGAAAACTGTGCACGCGTGACTGCCGAAACGTGCAGTCGCGATATAATCGCGATAATGCATCCGAGTTTCTCTTATTCAGGAACTTCGTGACAGACTTCCGGCGGAAGGTGCAAGTGACAGGTGCATACAATCGCTGGTAGAGCCCTCGCGGGATATCGTTTCAGTTAATGCGCGCCGCCTTTAGTTGCGATGGCTACACATGACAGATGCAATTGGTTATTGAATTTTAATCTTTTCGTCCGACGGCGATTTAATTAAATAATAAGTAAGACGAGGCTTGTAACGGGTATCGCTCGATAATGCTTTTGCGCGGAGATCGCATTGCTTTTTCCTGCCCTACTTTTGTATTTCAATTTTTCACCAAACGTTTTTTGTACCTCGCAAGTAACGTGTATTTGCATTGCGCAAGCAGCCCGAAATGTCAGTCGCTGTTCCGCATTTGATATAGTCGTTAAAAATATGCTGAAATTAACGGCAGCGCCGGCGCGTAGCGTTCAGAAAAATGTACTCCTCGCGTTTTGAACGAGGGAAGAAGTTCCTGCCCACGACATTACCGTGGACCATTTTTTTAAGCCGATCTTCGCGCACCTTGTTGCACGCGTAGTTTCCGTGCATTGGAAGTTTCTATTAATAAAACTGCAGACGCGCCGGGCTTTTTTTTTTCTATTTGTTTTCCCACGACGCGACCTCGCCTCATGAAGTAACTCTTCGCGAACAGAATTTGCAAATTGCTCTTCGGAAAATCTGACATAATTTTCCAGCACAGTTTACGCGCTTGCAATTTATTATTGAACTTTTATATATATATAAAGTCCCACGTTGTACCGATAATTAGAACACGCACGTTTATTTCGCAATAATGCGGAAAAGCATTAAATAAACATATTTATGCTAATATTTGACTTAATGGCTAAATAACAACTGATATACAATTGATGTACCAACAATGGTCGATGCGTAATACGTAAATATATTAATTAGAAATGTCAATTGATTAACGATTGGGAAAATTTACTTTGAGCGAAGTTAAAGTTTTTAAAAGTATAACCTTTCAAATCTAAGAGTTCACTTAAAGAAATTAAAACTTTACTTAAGAAATTTTATAATAATTTTCGACACTTAAAGTAAGTTTTAGATGCCAAGGGTAGCTTCTTTCACTAGTGAACGTTAATTGCTAATTATACTACGCTCTAATAGTATCTGTACGATTGAAGATATCGTGTACTGTTCCTATTACCGAAGTGTCCCGTCGTGTCTCGTATCCGACCGTCAATACTATCGATTCCGTTAAACGGCATTAGTAAAATGCTGCCTAACGGACAAAGATAAGAGCAGATAGACCATTTGGACTTTTAACTGACGGAGAGATGAGTCCAAGTCAAATATTTATGACATGCATAATTTATTCACTCTGACATAAGCCACAGTCGGCCGCTTTAATCCGGTACGTCTAACAGGAATAGGTTTGACCTAAGCGTTAACTGACGTTGACGAAATTCTTCATGATGGCTCGCCATCAAGTATTTACATTTTCTTTTATTCGCGGATTATCCCACGCCACGTTCTGGTATATATTCGCGCGTAACGCGACAGTGTCGCACGTCTATTATGTGCAGGCGGCAATTTCGAAGTTTCCCCGACAACCATGTTCTTCGATCTCCGGATACAAGACGTCGAAACGATTCAATTTCAATTCGATTCAACGGCGACCGTCAGCCGCTTTTGCGCTTTAACGCTCAGGTCTAATTTACAATGTGCTCTTTCCGCCAATAAATAACGCTTAACAAAATTGTGCAATTTGATACACTGTACATTGCGCAATCGTGCGTAGTCGACAAATTTTTTTTATGCGTATCGATTCCCCAACGAAGAAATGACTCGTCGATCGACGTGTCGTTTCTCACTGGGTCGCTTATGTAAAATAGAAAATGTTTCCAGAGGCATAGAGCACGTTTTACACGGAGAGAGTCTTCCCTTGAAATTTACGAAGAATTTCATAGGAGTTTTTGAAATTTCACCGTACCAGTAGGATGTATGGTGAAATTTAAAAAACGCACGAAATCCTTCGAAATGCCACGTTGTCCCACGATTTTCGGGCTAAACTTTAAGAGAACATTCTCGCCGCGTAGATCAGGATTCGGATCGCATCCTAATAAATATGAATAGCAGGTGCGATACGCTCTTGACAGTATTCTGTGCAAAGCTATTCGCCGACGGTACGGAGGAAATTTCCTTCCGTCGCCGGGTTCAGCGGCTCGCTCGCTTCTTCTTTCGCGTATCGATTATAATTTCGTGGCACACATATACGCGAGCTCTCGTCACAGCGCGGACCAGGGCTAGTTCGTGGCCGGAGCTGCTCGGCGAGCCGTGGCGAAAAGCCCAGCTACGTCAAGGGATTTGTGCGTGTGAAAGGGCGCCCTCGCCGGAGGGCAGCGCACACGGCACGTGGATCGCGCACAAAAGACAAAGCTGTCACATTTGAGAGTTTGCGATCGAGAGCAGGTCCCGCTTCACCCCCCATCCCCTTTAGCGTGCGTGCCTCTTCCATCAAGGGACGCACTTTGGTCCGTACTCTCTTTCCTCGTGGCTCGCCGCTCGCGAGAGGAACGTCGAAAATAGAAAATACTATACTACGCTTATCGTCTCTTTATTGATGATCCGCCGCTGCTGCATCGCACGCCCCGGTGTATTAATTAAATTCTATCGGCACTCGCGCACACAAGTTCGGCGTGTATTCGATTGAGATGCAAATACGCACGTGTTGTAGGCTCGTAAGCTCATTAGCAGTCTCGGCGTATATAACTTGCGATCTATCGAAATGCATTCTTCATATCTAGCTTAAGACAATAACACGAGAGGCGATCATACAGAAGAACATCTGCGTGAGTTGTTGCTTCGACATTCGCGTGGTGCGTACGCGGGGAGAGTTTTCTCTTAACATTTATCCTGAAAATCGTGGGATCCCGATGATCGTGGGGCAACGTATAGTAAAATGCAGGATTGGGAAGTAACTCCCCAGATAACAATTCTTGCGCGCAAATTTTGCTTGTCTTACGCATGCAAATTTGTATGCGATTTGCCCGAGTTTTGTCCGTAAGATATGTTCAGTCTGTGCTTTTGCACGCAAGTGGCTAGCTCGTGTATCAACGTGTAATTTTGCGCGCAAATGTCTATCGACTCGCGTACAAAAAATGGCTCAACAGCGCAAGCAAAATTCTATCCAAGTGCGTCGTCGTAATGCCAGATGTTTGCGCGCAAAATGTTTTCTGGGTCGTTACTTGTAACGAAATTACAGTTCCAGTTACTTTTTTCGGTTACTTTTTCGTAACTCTAACTTAACTTCGTTACTTCCTCTCCATCTGTAACTGTAACTTAATTCAGTTGCATTTTTTTAAATTAAAACTTAGGGTTAAAATTTTCGTGTTGAATGTTCAACACATTCATGTGTTAATTTAACATATTGCTCTTGTGTTAATTGACCTCGGATGTAAAATTATTACAATAACTAAAGAGAAATGTTAAAACAACACAATAAGTACTTATTTTTTAATCTTACACAATACATATGTTCTATATTATTAGTAACAAGATTTATCCGTTAAAATTTACAGAATAAAATGTTGATTTTATTCTATATGACATAAGTGAGAGCGATTTCGAATCGTCATTTGACTTGTTACGTCTGTAAAATGTAAAGGTTGCATTTTTAAATTCACTTTGTCATTAAAAATATGTGAATGTATGGTAAAATCTGAAAAAACTGTCATAACATTCTTGGAAATGCCGTGTTGTTCCACGATTGCATAATTTTCAGGATAAATTTTAATAGAAAATTCTCTGCGTGTAGATTAATAATACGCGATTCCAGACATTCTCGTGGAATATGCATCGCGTCGTTATCGAATCCAGTCGCGAGTCATCGAACGTCACTGAAATACAATGGAAATATCTCGTTGGGATTCCGAAAATGTAACAAACTGCAGTTCCCTCGGCGAATCCAATCTATCGGCTTCTGTACAAAGCTTTAACTGTCCACGACGACTTTGACGTGTTTGGCAGGTTATTTATTCTAACGTCCTTATTTGTAAGGAAGTTAGACGTCGTAGAGCGCGTCTCCGAGAAAGATTCCGCTTTATTTCGAACGATCGCTATTTTCCCTCGTCCAACGACTGAAGAACGAGGGGGAAAAACACGTTCGGTTACTGCACTGCGATCGATCGGCCTCTTTTGGCAATGATCCCGCATCGCATCGCCGCTGTCTATTCCGAGGCACAGATTTTTATCGAACGACTCTTATAATTTTTAAGATGTTTTCGTATACGAAGAATACGCTATGACGTCTTAGTTACGTTCTCAGTTACGTACGAATATACATAGCGTAGCTGAGAAATCTTAATTATTTATCCCAGGATATAGAGAACACTTCCCTATTATGAGATAGGCTTCTAATGTGAGAGAGCAGATTTTCAACGTCCAAACTCAATCACAGATCTTTTTTCGCGACGATTACGCGATCTGACAATGAATTCTCCACTAAACGGATTTCGCTTCAAGAACAATAATCTAGATTTCTATTTGCAGGAGCCTCTCACGCACCACAGTAGGTCTTAGAGGATGCACAAGTTAGCCAAGGGCCTGAAGAAGAAGAAAAAGCCGAAGAAGGGCAAGAAGGGGGCGGAGGAGGAGGAGTTCGATCCGGAGGAGCTCGAGCGTTATCGGCGCGAGCGGGCGGAGGCCCAACAGAAAGCCGAGGAGGCCGGCGAATCGACCAAAGGTCCCGGATCCGACGAGTGGAAGAAGTTCCAGGCTCTGACTGCTGGCGTCGACTCGGTCTTGAAGAAGACTCAGGATGACCTCGATCGGATAAAGTCTACCTCGTTCTTCCAGCGAAAGGCGCCGTTGGAAGAGAAGAAACCGAAAGAAGCAGAGCAGGAGGACTCCAACAAATCGTCTTCGAAGAAGTGGGTGGGCTTCGACAAGGAGGGCAATCCAATCGAGGCCGCGCCGCCGGAGACCGACGGTCAGGAGAGAAAAGGGGAGAGACCGTTGGTCAACGAGGACGGTTTCGTAGACGTACCGGAGGACGAGGATGAACAGGAGGACTCCGCCGAAGAGGATATCTTCGACACCACTTACATCGACGTTCTTCAGAATATCGACGTCCAATTAGCTTATATACCGGACAGCCCGACCGAGGAACAGGGCGGGGACGATCCCTTCGACACCACCAACGCCGACAAGGTTCTCCGCACAGTCGACAAAAAGGGCAACAAGCTAGTCAGCTTAGGCAATGCTGTTGAGGTGTTATCGGGAAGAATCGACTATGTAAGCACGTGCAAGATCACCAAGGGAAGGCGACCTAGACTTCAGCAGGATCTATTGTTGGACGACTTTGACGAGGCGGAACTACCGTCGATAGAAGCCGTTGCGGCGGAACGGACAGAAGCGGAGAAGACTTTGCTGGATGACGACAGCGATCTTCCCGACATACCCGTTGATTTGACGAAATTACCGCCTGTCTTACCGAGACCAGTCAGCCCGGTTGCTCCCACAGCAAATGAGGAGGGCGCAATCTCGGCCACTGAAAAGACATCAAACGGTCCGCTAGATATTTCCGAGTTCGAAGTTCTGAAGGAGAAAACGGCCTTGGAAGAGATCCCCGACTTGGATGACGCTGAATTTGATCTAGACGCGACGCCAAATGAGTCGACTCGTCTCGAGGAGGCCGATGATCCATTCGCCGCGAAAGAGCCTGAAACGACCGACTTTCAGACGGAGATAATCGAGGCCAGCTTCGAGGCAGCTACCTTCGTCGACGAGGCCGATCCGTTTGACACTACATTCGCGGATAACATACTACCGGGTAAAACAGAGCTGAAATTCATCGAGAAAGAGCTCGAAGAACTACCTGTCTCCGACGTATCCATATCACTGACCGATCCCGCGGGCTTCAACAGAGATTACGAAACAGGCCTGCTGAAATTGGAGAATGAACAGAAAGACAATCAGGACAGTTTGTTGTCCAAGAAGGATCTGCTAGGCGGCTCGACCACCGATCTTAGCCAGTTGGCGGACGAACCGATCGCGCCCGTCGAGGAAATCACCTACGTCGATCCCTTCGACACGTCCGCGGTGACAGAGCTTCCACCCGGCAAAACAGAGCTCAAGTTCTTAGAAAAAGAATTGCTCGGTGAGCAACCGAGCGGTTACGTCGAGGACGACGACGATTTCGATCCGAGGAAAGATGAGGAGTCAGTGAAGCAGCTGCCTGCAAAACCGCCGCCACCCAGACCATCCGCGCCGGTTAAGCCTGTGTTCGAAGTTAACTTCGAGGAGGACGAGAAGGTCGAAGCGACACCGACGAACCTCGAGAGGAAAGCTTCTCGGCCGGAAGTCCTCGAGTTAGCCCCAACCAAGGCCGTCGCGTTCGAATTGCCAACGCCTTCGAAGAGGCCTGACCTTCTCGCGACTACCGAAGAGGAGAAGACACTACCCTCTAAACCACTAACACCCTATTACTCCCAGAAGTCCATAGAAGAGTCGTTGCCGATAGAGGACGACGAAGTAGATGTCGATCCTTTCGACACCAGTTTCGTCAATAAAGTCGCGCCAGGTAAGACAGAACTCAAGCTCATCGAGTCGGAATTGTTGAGGCAGGAATCTAAGCTGCCGCACAGTTTGAGCGATCACGACTTCGACCCGAGATCTACCGCAGAACCAATCAGGAGACAGAGCGACTTCACGGCCACCTCGGTCGCGCCGAGCAATCTAAAGCTCGCGCAGCTGCAATCGTCGCTGAGACAAAAGGTTGAAGAGGAAGTGATCGCGAAGCAGGCACCTCAGAGGCAAGAGAGCTTATTGGATGCGGAAGTCGAGGTCGACGCGAAACCTCTGACACCTAGGATCGAGAGCAAACCTATCGCGGAGGAGGAGGAGATCTCCTATTCGGATCCTTTCGACACTTCTATCGCGACGAACATCCTGCCCGGGAAGGCAGAGCTGAAAATATTGGAGAGTGAATTACAGCAAATTCCTCAGCCGCCACCCCCGCGTCCCATCAATCTGCCCACCGTGGTACCTATCGTTTCATCGACAGTCCCGGAAATCGACGACTTCGATCCTAGAGCGGACGAAGTTAAGGAGTCGAAAGACTTTCTGTCTTTGGACGGACAAGATCCCGGCGACAAAGTGTTGACGCCGCTCCAGAATAGAGATCTTACTTTGGACGACTACGTGGACCCCTTCGACACTAGCTTCGCTACTATCGAGCCTGGGCGGACCGAATTGAAACTGCTCGAATCCGAATTGATGAAGTAATCTCTCAATAGTTACACGGCTCCGTTTCGTCAGTCTTTATCTAATTGTTGAGCCGGTCAACATAGGTGTGTACATTAACTATATCTTTCGAAGCCAACACAAGGGACTATTTAAATCTTCTACTTGTTGCACACATCCTCAGTAATCTCTGCGTACCACAGTCAAATGAAAGGTTTCCAAAAATGTTTGCGTCGACCGACGAATTGAAATTGTACCAAGAAATGTCTGCCTAACGCGTAGAATAGAGACGAACAGACTAAAATTCTAGTCTAGTCTGATGGAAGTAGAGTCCAAAAAATTTCCAAAAAGTTTCGACAACCGTTATAGTTAATTCTTAACCGGAGTTCGTAAGTCAGTTCAATCATGGATTCCAAGGGAGGAAATCCATTTCTAATGGATGATTACGCGACGGAACCTGGGGGCGGCGTGCCCTCGCAGGCTTCCAATCCTTTCCTTCAGGATTTCACCGATACGTCAGCTTCCGGCGGGGGCGAGAATCCCTTCTTAAATTTCGGCGGCGACCAGGCGTACGAACCGCCAGTGTCCGTCGACTCTACCAATCCGTTCGCCTCCTTTGGCATTGAAAGTACCGCTCCGGACACCGAATTCGGAGCTGCCACTGACACTAATACGCCAGCAACCAACGTCTTCACTAGCCAGCCATCCAACATCTTCGTCGCGTCCGATAACGCGAGCGTAGACCTGTTTGGTACGATGACGACGACGACAGCCGAGAAACCACCCCCGGCAGTCGTCAGCCCGCCGCAGCCTCTAGCGGCCACGCCTCCGTCGAAGAATGGAAAGCCGCCGCCGTCGAGGCCACCCCCGCCGAGACCGCAACCACCACCGCCACCGATACCGCATCCACCGGTGCAACCACCTGCCAAGCACACCAAGGATCTAATACTGTCGGTCACGGGAGCAATGGATGCCACCTCGAACCACCTTCTGGATCGTTTGCAAGCAACCAGAACGCCCAGCCCCACGCTGATGCACTCCCCGTCGCCCACCCCGGAGCACAGCTTCGCCGATTTTCTCGACGTGGACAGCAACGTGCCGGATCTGATCCCGGACGACAAACTCGTTGAGACGCCGAAAAATCAAGATATCATGGACCTGTTCGACGCTCCCAACACTGATGTCACCGCAAACATCTTTTCTGCTTCCATGACCACGACGGATGCCAATCTTGTCACCGGAATCCCCGTAGCCACCGCTACCAAGGATAATCCTTTCGCGAGCATGAGCGAGGAGGCGGTGGTCCCGCAAGCGCAGCCTGCCTTCGGAATGGAATATCCGGAAGATATTGTCAGTAACGAGAAACGGCCTTCAGTGACCTCTGCGACTCCTTTTGCAGTCATAGAAACGGACGGAAAATCCGGCACTGTCTTGGACCTTGAGGAACCTGCGCCTGCAGTTCAACCTGTGTCGACAGCAGCCACTGAACTCTTCCAAGGTTACAAGATTTTTCTCTTGCTTGTAAATTAGACAATGAACGAGAAAGACTATAATTCAGAGTAATATATATTGTTTTAGTATCATTACATATTGTAACTCTATACGTTTTTTTACAGGAACAGAACAGATTTCCACCGATGCTGATGCGAGCTTCTTCTCCATGACCGACACAACCACGGTAACGCCCTTCGGCGTGGTCGAGACCGCGCCTGCACCCTTCGCAGCTGCTGCCCAGCCCTTGTTTGCTCCATCGGAAATCACGCAACCCGCCTTTGCCTCGGATTTACTGGGTGACTTCGGAGAAACGACCAAAGAGATCAGTAGCGGCTTGATCTCCACCAGTCCAACTCCCGGCTCGGAGTTTCCCGGCAACGAGGCTTACCGGCCCGAGGAAGAGTTGGATAACTTCGCCGCTACGACAAAAGCGATCGAGGTTACCGGCGACTCGTTCGATGCTTTCGCGTCCAAGTTCGACAGGGCCGCTGAACCGGAAACCAACGGCGGGGATCCCTTCATGGATGCCTTCGGCGGGCCAACCGCTATGGACACCTCCAGCGACGGTAGGTGGACAAACGCGACTTGCGACTTTACAATTTATATTTAATTGTTTATTACGATGACGATTTTCCCTTCAGTTTGGGGAGACTCAGCAGTTGGCTCGGAAACGGCGCTCACCGGTTTTGGAGAGTCCGACGGTTTTGATTCTTTCTTGAGTATGACGGCTCCACCGCCGGAAATGAAAGTGAAAAGAACCGAGTCTGCGGAATCGGACGACGGACCCGACTTCAGTGTATTTATCAAGTGAGTCAAGGAATTACATTATTATTATCATTAGTCAGATTACTGACTTTTAAATCAGAAATAAAAATTGAGATTGATTTATTTCTGACGTTGGTCGTTGAATATTCGGTAGCATCGTTCGAAAACTTTTACTTTATGGCCTAAATTGCAGCGCAGTTAGATTGAAGAATGTAATATTATTTCTAGCATTAGTATATATTTAATAACAGTCCTCTGTCTCTTAGGCCGAAAGAAGGAGACCAGGTGACAACAATGGAAGGCGGGCCTGTACCTACATTAGCGCCACCACCGAAAAGTCCACAGATTGCCGCGTACACGGATTCTTCGCCACGTTTCAATCCCTTCGACAAGTCCGGACTCGCGCAAGATGCCGTGGTCCCTGAAACCGCACAGACAGCTGAAATGGCTAGGACAGATTCTCAGGTATTTGCACTAAACTCTACCGCTGTATGTCGCATTGTTTAACACCGTCTCTCTATCAGCTAAACATTTTCGCGCGTAGATTTTATTTTTCGTTCTTTAATTGCAAGAGTATAAAAGGATACTTAAAATGCACGCAAACATATTTGTACATAATAAAATTGTACATAAATAAAATAAAATATTTTCTTCTCGAAGGAAAGAAAATGAGCTAATAAAGATATTAATTAATTTTTCCAAGTTTCTGACTGTAACAAAATTTGACCGGAATTTGAGATGAAAATCTTGAAAATTGGCAGCACAAACGAAACCCTGAAACTCGTCAAGTAGTTCAGTTAAAAAAATTATAGTACTATATCTGTAAAAATATAAATGTTGCAACAAATTTCAACTTGCGTTCGTATTTTTGAATTCTACCAAATCATTTGTTCAAATTTTTGTTCAGTTTGTGTCAACACGCTGTAAATGATCTTATTACAAGTTGAGACGTTTGCCACAGCATTATTTATATTTATCTGAGTTATGACATAATGAGCACATGTATACATACCAAGACTTAGCTTGAGGTTATTAGCTTACATTATTTCTTTCAATTTGTAATCTGTCGGGCCTAAAACTATCTTTAGTTATAATTTTTATTCTTCTTTTTTTTTAGGAAACCCCGCCTACTCCTCTGTTCGACGAAGATGTTAGTCAACCGCTCGAGGATTTCCCGAGAATAACTGACACCGGCGACGGTTGGGAAATGCAATTGCGACAGCCAAACAAGAAGAAGATTACGGGGCAACGTTTCTGGAAGAAGATCTTCGTCAGGCTAGTTTACCAGGGTGACAATCCGATACTTCAGTTGTTCAACAATAAAGACGAGAAAGATCCATTCCAAGAATTACCTCTGCTCGCCTGCTACTCGGTGTCAGACATCGGCGCCCAACAATTCGACCAGTATGGAAAGATCTTTACTTTGAAATTACAATACATCTTCTATAAGGAGAGGCCTGGCGTGCGACCTGGTCAGGTCACGAAGGCCGAAAGACTCACAAACAAACTCAGCCAGTTCGCGGCATACGCTATTCAAGGTGATTACCAGGGCGTCAAAGAGTTTGGAAGTGATTTGAAGAAATTGGGTCTTCCTGTCGAACACGCACCTCAGGTAAATTATTTTAGTTCTCTCAAATATAAATCACGTTCACTGAATATCAATCGGTGTGTATCACGTAAATGCTCTTAAAGACTAATTTCTACAGTGATTATATAAAATCAAGCTCAACATACGAATTTAATATAGCACGTGCGTTAATCCAAGATCTCTATAATAAATTCTATTAAATGTTTACGCTTGCAGATCTCTCAGTTATTCAAACTCGGTTCGCAATATTACGAGAACATGAAGCAATTTTCCTGCATTATCGAGGAAGCTCTCTTCAAGTTGCCGGCTCATCGCGATCGGGCTTTAAATTACAAAATGGAAGAGGTCCAGGTAACAGTCGTGGATGAACTGTACGTCGAGCAGAGTGCGGAGGGTCACGTAGACAAGCAGATCGCACGCGTTCGTCTTTTCTTCCTGGGTTTCCTTTCCGGTAGATATCGCTGCGATTATATATTGCTACATTCCACATTTCGTAATGTTACGCTTGTTCACGAAACGAAATTCAATTCGTCGTTTAGGTATGCCCGACATAGAATTAGGAATAAATGATATGTGGAGACAGGGTAAAGAGGTCGTTGGCAGGCACGATATCATCCCCGTCGTGACGGAGGAGTGGATTCGCCTGGAGAACGTCGAGTTTCATTCCTGCGTCCAGCAGGACGAGTACGAGAAATCGCGGATAATAAAGTACGTATCCCACATTAGGCTAGTGGAAACGATAGATGCGATTTTTCTCGGATAAACGCTATAATTAATGATTAATATAACAATTCTAACAGTCTCTTACTCGCAATTACAAATAAGCATGTCAATTGTGACAGGACAAAATTTCTTCATGGCCTTAAACCTGTCCTTGTTTTAAGAAACTGACACAGCGTGACTTGCCTTTTAACTAACGAACGTGCACGTTTTAACTGCAAGGCTATAAAATATTTTGTAACTAATAACTCCACTAACATATATCTTCTAAGGTTCAAACCACCTGATGCATGCTACATTGAACTGATGCGATTTCGCGTAAGACCGCCTAAAAATAGGGAACTACCGCTTCAGCTAAAAGCGGTTATGTGCGTTACTGGGAACAAGGTGAGTTTCTTCTTCCGTTTTCCGTAAACTAAACTTTCCGCTCGGTATTCAAATGAAAGCAAAGACTTGTTGAGTCTTTGCCGTCGCCGTATCTATTCTATCTGTTATATTAGGTAGTATATGTTGTCACCTTCGGTTCTGTTATAAAAATATTATATTGGGCTTTATGTAAAATTTTTGTTAACGTTCCTTTTCATTCTTTATCTCGTTCTTGCGACACGCGGCGGCCTTTCGTAACGGCGTGTTTCTTTAGGCTGTATTATTCGATTCCCTTCATGCGCTTATTATTACAGGTGGAGCTGAGAGCAGACATTCTCGTGCCTGGTTTTGCATCCAGAAAATTGGGCCAAATACCGTGCGAGGACGTGATGGTTCGCTTTCCTATACCCGAGTGCTGGATCTATCTCTTCAGGGTCGAGAAACACTTCAGGTATGGCTCGGTGAAATCGGCGCACAGAAGAACGGGGAAGATTAAGGGTATCGAAAGGTTCTTGGGCGCCGTCGACTCATTGGAACCGCAGCTGATGGAGGTAACTTCCGGCCAGGCGAAGTACGAGCATCAACATCGCGCGATCGTGTGGAGGATGCCAAGGCTGCCGAAAGAGGGGCAAGGTATTGTCTATATATATATTTTTTTTATTTAGTTAAAACTGATTAAATTTACCAATCCTTACGGTCAGTTCACAATTAGTGTTTAAAAAGTTTCTATTTAGCTTCTGCTATTTTGTAAGCTGAAGAAATAGGATTCGGGGAAACTCAACGGTTACATTTGCCGAGCGTAAGAATATTCAGGCTTCGCACGAGGGCAGAAACATTACGCGGAATGGTTTAAATATACCACGTGTTCAAATCATCACCCAAACGATTCCGCTGGCTCCCGTCCAACTTCAGTTATTCGCGGTTATTTCCAGGCGCATATACGACGCATCAGCTGGTTTGCCGCATGGCTCTCACCTCCTATGATCAGATCCCCGAAAATCTCTCGGAATACTGTTACGTGGAGTTCACGATGCCGGCGACGCAGGTGTCCCATACGACCGCGAGGAGCGTCAGCCTCCAGAACAGCGACAGCGACGCGCCCCCCGAAAAGTACGTCCGAAATCTGTCGCGTCACGAATACAGGTGAGTTCAGAAAGTTGTTCCAACATTTGAAAAATCGTGTGGAGTAAAATACGACTTGTGAAGTAAAATGTAGAATCTTTTCAGTGTGCCTGTCGAATTACACGATTAATATTTCCGTTAACATACGCCATTTGATGCTCTTATAAGACGATGATTCATCGTATAGTTGTTTAGCTTCCAATGTTGGAAATTAATGATCGACACAACTGGCAAGTTTCGACTAAAGAAATTTTTGGTGAAAAATATTATCTCAGCCAGGGTGTTTCGCAAAAAAATTCTTTAATTAGAATTTTCCACGTGCGTCGAGTATTAATTTCCTACATTGGTTAATTATTCGCTGGCGACAATAGGTCTTTATTCTTTTTATCTAGCTTCCTTCTACTGTTGATCTTACGTGTCACTGTGCGTTGCTACATTATGAAACATTGTTTAGGGTGGGGATTGAACATACGCAAGGCGAAGGACCTGGCGCGTACGTTACGGCGACGATTGCAAAGAAGATTCCCGAGACCACGCCGGAAGTAATCCAAGAGACGCCCGAGGCGGCGGCCGAGTCCGATTCCGACTCCTCGGAGTAATATGGGTAATCTGTCGCTTAAGTCAACGTCGATCGATCGTTTCCGCGTTGTAATAATTAGTATGTTACCAAGGGGGAAGGGCGAGAGCTAAAAAGGGAACGTGTTACGTAAGTCGATCGCGGTGGAGAGCTAAATATGGCTGACACACTAGTCGTTTAAGCGGTGAACGTAGGTATCGTGATGAACCTAGGTATAGTGAACACTACATCGTGTACGTGTTACTAGTCTGTATAGAAAGAAAATCCGCGGGAATCGGCAAACGAGATGTTTCGTAGGTTTGCCAATTATAATAAACGGCGAATGATCATCCCGCGTGTGCGAAACCGTGACACTTTTGTGCGGTCGCTTATCAGTTCAGAAATGGGCCGAGACACCCTTACAGAAATTTAACAACTGCGAACCAAAACTGCACTGAACAATTACTAGAGTCTGCTAATTGAACTATTAAATATTACTGACGTATAGTAATTTTTTAGTAATTATTTTGCATACGTTTCTACAAGGGCAGTAGTTTCTGTCATTGGAAAAAAGAACAGAATTAGATCAGCAAAGAGACTAAAATATTCCATTTACAAGACAACATCTTGGTCTCCAAACGCACGCTAAGCGATTAGGATAATCAAAGCCAAGAGATAACTTGCCTGACATTTTCAAGATTGCGAATACACAAAGTAATTCCTCTTAATCACCGAGATTCTCGCATTTACTTGAGATTGAGCGCTACCTTCTTTCCAATCCTCAAACCAATCTACGATCATTCCGTCCGCAAAATAATCTCGCAGGCGAGCACTTCACGAAACATCTCGTTCGTATTCGCGCTCAACATAGGGGCTAATGAAAGTAAATAATTAAAGGAAAACTAATTTGAAACATGAGGAAGAGGACATTAGGACAATACCGCTTTTCCGTTTTGTTTAGCTTGTTAAGTCGTAGAGCACTCGCGACGAAAAGCTTTGCGTGCGCGAAGTGCGTTCATGACGCGTCAAAGATGCACGGTCATTCTTATCGGGCAATTGTAATGTTGAAATTGTTTATACATATGAGAGAACAATTTCGTGTGCTGTACATTTTTTAAACGGCCGGCGTAATTGCTTATCCGGAAGGATCATTCATTTGCGAGATCGTTTAATCAGACGTTATTTGGTTTATCTTTATACTACCTAAATTTTTCTGACACTTTTCACTCTGCATACCACGCATAGAGCTGAAGTGTCTCGTGTTTGAAATATTTTAAAACTTTTACTTACACTTCAACGTTCACGATCTAGAAAATTTTCACGAATTACTGAGGACTATTGAAAGATGATGATATATCGCTAAACGTCACGTCGTCGTTGCGATCAGAGGGCAATGATCTGTTAGACATCGTTATTTTATAGGCACGAGCATATCCCATTGTTTGAGCTTATAGATGATCTATGCATACCGTTATTTAGTCGCTAGTAGATATAAATTTAGTTATAAATTAATTATACCACGATGTGTACAGACAACAATAAGATATCAATAATTCTAGAACGGTATGGTGTCGGGTGCGTGTGTAATATTAATTTAGTATAAATGTGATGGAGTCTTGCGAGAGCAAGTTTGATTCACAGTAAAGCAAATCTCATAATTCGGTAGGAATAAAGAAACACGGTCGGTCTCGCGCGCACGGTTTACGCCTTAGACTTGGCGCGAGACACGTGTCTCTTGATAGTAATCGCAAATATAATCTGTAAATGCTTGTAGCGATAGCCCGCTTGTAAGATCCTAGATGTAGGTTTTACGTTCGTTATTATTTAATTTTTGTCCTTTTCGGTCGGTGCGTAACGCTACCGACTTGGCAGACAAGCAGCATCACCAAAGATTAGAATTAAGGCTGCGCCAGCAGCGTAATTTCGGTCGCGACGCTCGGAATCGAGCACGCGACACGAAGAAGGAAGGGAAGTGGCCTAATTATGCGAGGTTTCTCGTCGTATCGTATACATGAGTACGGAGAGACCTCCATTAATTACATGTAGTCCGATGTATGTAATCGTATCTTGTATACCTTGGATAAGCTATGTAAACGATTAGAGACGTAAGTTTCCGTTGTGTTTTAAATTTTTCGTTAATGCATTTTCAACCTGCGAGTCAGAAGAGTCATCAAAGGTCAGAAGAGTTCATTCTAGTCCCTAGCTGTTAAGATAATCGTATGAAACGGACGAATTCAACGTCGATCATACGTTAGTTAATAAGATCTAGATTAAAGTTCGATTTTAAGCGTAACTTCGATAGCAAATATTGATAAAGGCGGCCAACCAAATAGACTAAGCACGCCTGTTGATTATTAATTGCCGCTCTGATCTTCGGTGACGTTGATGTATTTACGAATCTCTTATATACGAGGGTGAGTCAAAAATTATCCGCACTCTTCGTTCTACAATTTATTTACACAAAAATAGGGGTTCAATATGTACGTCATGTTTCAACATAGTCTCCTCCCTTGGCAATGCACTTGGTCCAGCGGTCCACAAGCGTATTGCTTCCAAAGAAGAAAGTGTATTTCTTCCAAGAAGAAAGCCACTTTTGCACCGTTTCCTGCAAGCCCAAATCTTGCTCCCTCCGACTTTCATCTGTTTCGGCCGCTCAAGGATGCTTTGCGAGGTCGTCAAATTTCTACAGACGTAGACGTGCAGGAAGCGGTGCAAAAGTGGCTTTGCGACCAACCGAAAACCTTCTTCTCGGAACGTATACGCAAGCTTGTGCACCGCTGGACCAAGTACATTGCCAAGGGAGGAGACTATGTTGAAAAATGACGTACATATTGAATTCCTATTTTTGTGTAAATAAATTGTAGAACGAAAAGTGCGGATAATTTTTGACTCACCCTCGTATAATTGCACTTCTGTTTGGCGGAAACTGATTTGACTGAAATTTTATCATTTTTAACGAACGGAGAGGACAGTTTTCCATAATGGAAACATAAATTACAAATTAATGGCAACAATATATTTTACCAAATGTTTTTTATCCCATTTTATATTTCAATCTTTACAAAGTCAAATGTCATCGATTATATATGTAACTTGTTACGTAAGCATCTTGAAATTATTTCTTTCATGTAATAAACACATCTTTGTAAATAGAAATATTTGTGCCGGCGACTCGTCGCTGAGAGTTTCAAGAGAATAGCGCGCAGGACACTCGCAAAAAATCGGATCCTCGCATTTTGAAACGGCGCAGAGCTTTTCGAGCTACAGTGTCGAGGTTTGCTTGAGTTTGGTATCTCTAAAACGGATTTTGGACAAGCTCTTCTTCACGGAAGCTTGCGCCAAGACGTGACGTTTCCACAGCTCGTGATCTCAAAATATGCGTAATCCTATCGTCGTGTGATCCAGATACGGCGTTCGTGTATCTAAGCAAAAGAGAGAAAAAAAAGAAACAAAAAGCATAAATAACAGTTAAACGTTGCATGTATAGATTTTAGAAAGGGATAAGTAGTTAGCGAGAGCAAGTGTGTGGTTCCGGCGTGTTTACAATGCATCTGAGAGAGAATGCGGAGAGAGAGAGGATTATACGCGTTGCGAATTGGATTTTGAACATTTAACGAAAGAGGATTGATAACTGTCGTATGTTTATTACGATTTTGCCCGCGTCTGCTTCTTTGACAACTTTCCTACCTCAGAAAGAAGAAAGATTGTGAGAAAGGCAGACGTGCGATTATAAAGAACGTTACGAAAATCGTCTCTACAAGTACTACACTTTATAAACGACTCATTGTATAACGCAACTCTTGTTAATTTCATTTACAATATTTTAATACAATCACGCGCAATGCGTTGTAAGCCTTGAAAGCTTATCATAACGATACGATACTTATAACTCACGTGTTTCGTGAAATGTGATGGTATTCCCTATTTCTGTAAAAAAAAAAGTATAGCTTCGATGTTAGCATGTATGCAGTGAATAATTGGAAATAGGCAGGAGACTATCATCACGGTCTCCATCGCAATATATAAATGTGTCATGTGCATATACTGATCGTCCTCGAGAAGAAACAAATTATTTATCTATTACTCCATCCCTTAAGAAAAAAAGCATTTATCTTCGTATGAATTAAATAGTAATCGTAGGCAATATACATATATATATATATATATATAGTTCTAAACCCTGTTGACCCAACTTGAACACAAGGAAAAAATTGTAAAGGCATAATAAGGCATAGAATAATATAATCGTTGTCCCTACCGTATCGAGAAATGTTCTGTACAGGTGAAAAAAAGTCTGTAAAGATAAAGTTTAGTCGCGCTTTTTGTGAGAGACCGACGTGTAATATTTAGGAAAACTAAAGGCAAGAGAGAATATCGCGACGGGAGATGTGTGACGTAGATGAGAGAGTAACGTGTGTTTCCTTGAGGATTGCTTCTTCTCAATATGCACGCGATCGCCCTTAAATGAGATCATCGGAGAAAGCTTCGTTGCAGTTTGCGCTTTTTGTCGTGCGACTGTATTTTGCTACAATAAATAAACCGAGAGCGAGTGAAGCACTGAAAATACAAGTCGCACTCTAAGTACGCCAGTTCCAAGTGGAGCAAATTTAAAGTTGTCGAGGAAAGAAAGTACGGCCAATATGAAGTTAACGGTCGTAGAAGATTCTTCCAATGTCACATTAAATTGTCACAACCTGTTCGGATCGTGAACGGCGAGGTGTCACAGTCCTCCTGGGTTTAAATTTTCTCGCAACTGGACTTAATTCACTTGCATTTTCAGCTTCGGACAAACAGTTTCTTTGTATTGCCGTCACGAAAAAGCTACGTCATGCAACGCTCTCGCGTCTATACGTTTAAACTGCTAAGCGACTTTGTAGGTATGGAAAAATATCTAGTTTTGCCAAATCGCTTTTAAATAATCTTAAACATATTTTGTTCGAGGCACGTTGTTACAAGGGTTCGGTCAAGAATCCTGTAAGATTCTAAATGTGCTCAAAACTGATAGGTTCTTAGCCTATTGTTAAGATATAATAGAAAAGAAATATTAAAATAAGAAAATATATACATATATATATATACATTTACACGCGTTATTGATTCAATATTAATGTTGTAATTACGTATTACTCGTAAACGTTATATTAGCGGATGATATCATTTAAGGGTTGATCGACATCAGGGTTAGTCAATGCAAGAGCGCTGAAACGAATGTGTACCACTTTATTTCGTCGTGACAGATAGTAATGTATAACAAACATGATCGAATAAATAACTTACGTTACATATCGTAATCCAGAGCTTTTTATAGAATTACAGCACGCGTGTTCCTTCGAAGCTACGCAAGTACGTAATCGCCGCAACAAGTATATAATCCGCACGCTCCACCAGTCATACCATCGTGCATTTTGACCAATTTAATATAATACCCGGGACATTCCCCCTAGATTTGTAAATGTAAACGGCGGCTATCGCAGAAAGTCCTCCCCTTTTCGCGGAAGCTTCGGGGCAATTAGGGGGAACATTGTGTGTCAAAGGCCCAAAAAGTATATACACGTATAAGTTAACGCAATATATGAAAGTATAAACCGATGTTTCCCCGATTTAGTTTAAGAACGTACAACTTTCTGGAGCTTATGAACAATTTCCGGCTTTCCTCGAATGTTTTAACATAAATCGGCAAGATATGCGCATCGCGCAGAGACAGTAATTAAACGATGCGGCTGCGAAGTTATCACAATCTTAAGAAATGTACACGCAATTCAAAATATTGCAATTGATCGCTCACTAATTCAAATTTTCTTACTGTTAATTACTGGGCGGAAAATCTCTATGTAAAAACGCAAGTCTGTTCTGGCTGGCATTTCGCAGAATATTTCTTCTTGCGCAGGAATCATGACATAATAATAATAAAGTGTTTTGCGGTATATTTGCTAATGTAATGTTGGTCTCCACCGTTTCTCCGCAGCTTGTAATCCGGAAGTCTTTCTAGAGCGTTCGCAACAACGAGAGGTAAATGGTATTAAAAGCGCAACGTTTTCCTCACAAAAATCTCTCGGGTTAATTAAGAAAGTTGCGCAATATTCCTCGCGAGACAAGTGTATTAAAATAAGATTGTAATTCAGAAGAACAAATTAGTGTACGTTTCTCTAGAATAGGAATCTCCAAATTATACGGAAGGGAGGAGGCGATTAGACAGACGCGACTTTCTATTGTGAAAGAGTTGGGGAGAGAAATAAAAAATGAAATAACCGGTCGGACTTTCACTCTGAAAATCTGGAATCGAGCTAACTACGTAATTAGGAATTGACGCTTAAACTTAAGCGGACATTATATAAATGTTAAAACGGGAAACTTACAGTCAACCCTTTATTTGTTTGATGCAACGTTTCGACCCTATTTTTTGGGTCCTTATCAAGTAGTGCTGCAAATCAACAACGCGCGCGATCATACGACTTTGTAAGTTAATAAGTAAAACGAATGGAAGTTACGAAACGAACCTAAGTGACTCATCGTCGTCACATAAGACAGAGTCGAATGATAAATATGTAAATGGTTGAAAAAGCGCCCACTTTTTCTGGTTGTCGTTTTTAAAGAGGAAGCGCGAGAAGATACCAACGTCGCAGGAGGACTAAGTACTTTCGGCAAGCATTGTTTCCGGACGAAAGATGCGTATCGTGTTACAGCTCACATAAATCTTACGTTTTTGAGCGACGTGCACGCGTTGCCGCGAATATAATTTGGACGCTCGAGAAAAAACGCTAATTAGTTTCGTAACGCAGCCACATAATATCCATAGTGGTGTCAGTATAATAAGAATAATTATTGTACATGTACACGTGCCGAGCTCATGAGTCGGTAAATTAACGCAGATTAACGGCAGGTGGATTGTATAACGTAGAGAGCGTGGACGAAGACTTTTCGTTCCGGTTTCTCGATTTGTTTCGCCGTTCGGGGACGGCCCTTTAAAAAAGAAACGCAAGAAATGGCACCCGGAATAACGTATGATGCGTGTAACGATAATAATTTCCTGCGAAAAGGAGAAATGCTGAATCCCTGATCCCTCTATGACTAACTGAAAAAAAATATATACATGTATGTGCAACGATATAATGTACCTAACTACTTTATGCGTGTATCTACTGCTTAGATTGTAATCTAATACCAATCCAATACTATAACCATGTGATGTATACAAAGAGTACCAAGAGGCGAGCAGCAGGAATATCTCAAGAAATTCTTCATGTACAATAATTTACAAGTGTGTGTGAGAAAGAGAGAGAAAGAGAGAGAGAGAGAGAGAGAGAGAGAGAGAGAGAGAGAGAGAGAGAGAGAATGCGCGCACAGACCATTTCTGAAAGCAAAGACGAAATAAATGTAGCACTGTTAGCAAATGGTACCGGCGATAAATTCTATGTATCGATAAATAATATAATATTGTTTAAAGGACGACAAGTGAGCCGCGCCTTATATTTTCGCGAAGTTCTATTTTAGTAACGTCCTCGATCGTACAATTGCGCCGCGGCATCCCGTCGCAATTGCGTTGCCTACGTCTGTTTCGTTTCCTCACGTTAGGGGCAGCGAGTGGATAACCGTGAGTTTTGGAAAGAGTCACTCCGGCGACCCCCTAATCGGCACGCTACAATTTTTTTTGTTTATGAAACGACTAGTAGACGGTACGGAAAGATGTGGTTGTTACGAATTATAATTAAAAATTGATCGAATAATAAAAGAGATACAAAAGACACTCCACGTCATCGGTACTCGTGCGGGCGATTGGGGATAAAGAAATATTTAATGGAAAATCTCCATGCCAACGCTAATTGTCCGCTTTCCCCGCGGCGGCGATCACACACGTACATACACTAGGAATCACTGATGCCTTGCCACATGAATTTGCGCACGTATCGTCACATTTTGCATATACAGGGTGACCATTGGAATTGCGTGGAAAGTAAATAGTGATTACTTCGTAGCGAATAGGTCGAGGACAATTAATTAACCGCCATTTTGTAGAGGAGACTTGTCAATTTTATTACCGTACGTACAGAAACTGTATATAATATTTCAATAATTTAAAATGCGCCTCTTATGTTATTCCTCTGGGGTTACCGCAAACATCGATGTTACGCGAAACAACCAAAAACATCGGGGAACTAAAAGGTAACATCCAAAGATACATTTGCAAGATACATTTCCGCAGCCACGTTGGCTAATGTATTTCGAAGTTTAGAAAAACGTTTGCAGTTCTGTGCCGATTCTGACGGACAACATTTTGAAAATCATTAATTTATTTCTTATACGGTGTGTTTAAATTATTAAAACATTATGTATACATTTCTTCTATACGTATGTTAATAAAGCCGACAAGTTTCCTCTACAAAATGGCGGTTGATTAATTCTCTTTGAAACTAATAACCATTTTGCTTTCAACACAATCCTAACGGTCACCCTTTACATACACGGAAAATTGTATATGTGTCCCACCTGCGCCTAGATTCATACAGGAAGGCATCGGTGATTCCTAGTGTACGAACATTGTCTCGGTAGCGCAACGTCTAAATTCTTTGTACAATGTGTAACCCTTTCACTCTCGATCCTCCTCGCGTTTAAATTACGCAGCCCGTCCGTGCTCGAGGATGCGATCGCGCGCAGCGTTCTTCTAATCTTCGCACTTCCGTAAGTACAAGATAAGAGCGCGGCTGCGCCCCGCGCGCAACGTATTATGTAACCTCCTTGCGTGGCTGTGTTTTCCTTCCAGCACGCCCGTTTCTGTCCTCCCCTTTCGCGCACGCTGGACTTTTAAATTTGCGCCTTTCGCAACATTCTTCCTCGCCATTTTCGCGAAGAATAGAGACGACTACGCGCGCGTACATGCGGTTGCACGTGTATTCAAGCTCTGGTATTGTATCGATATTAGACCAATATTGCTAACTAGACGTATTGGCTAAATTAGAGACCCTGTAATCAGAGACTGGCCGTAAAGCCCGTATCAGACTACAGACTCCCGACTCTGACTCGACTACTGACTCGGACTCCCGACTATGATTCAACCAATCACAGCAAAGCACCAGCCGACCCTGACTGCCGACTCGGGGATAGACGCCACTCTAATTGGTTGAATCATAGTCGGGAGTCCGAGTCAGTAGTCGAGTCAGAGTCGGGAGTCTGTAGTCTGATACGGGCTCAAGAGCTCGTCAAATTCCCGCGAGTGAGGGAGAAACAGGCTATCTCACTCTTCTACGATCGTAGAATCGTAAGAGTTGGTTTTCTCTCACTCGCGGGAATTTGACGAACTCTTGTGACCAGTCTCTGATCACAGGGTCTCTAGGCTGAATAAGAGAAAGGCGTCCATCTTACAGTATTGGACCAATACTGCCCAAGGAGAACAAAAAGTCAGGATGATGTCAATTTGATGTCATATTGGCCAAAGTTATGTCAAACTTTGATAAATTTGATGCCATATTGACCAAAATTTGACACAAATTTAGTCAATATGACATCAAGTTGACATCATCCTGACTTTTTGTTCACTTTAGGTGGGAATACCAGATTCACATTATTTCCCAATATGGCGCCCGACGTACTGTGCTACTAGGGACTTATCGACTGCAAAATAGAACGTTTCTAGACGCAAAGAACACGTCGCAGATCAGACAAGATTTTTCACAGTCCCGGATCGGGTAAATAGATCTTTACGGGAAATTATCTCGCGATCTTTTCGCCAGTTGACAGGATCCAAAGTCCGCGTCACGACACGCGGTGTCGTCAGTTTTTTTATTACGTCGGTCTGCTGATAAATGCGTTCCATAATTAAGAAACGTACGAAACGTACGAAACGTCCAGTGGCTTGTCGGGAGGCGCGAGAAAACCCGGTCGCCCCGCTGTCAGGCCAAAGGCGATTGTCGCTCGCGGCGGAAGCGTGCGGCCGAGCCCGCGCGACCGTTCTCCAGCGCGGCGGGGGCCCACGTGACCGCGGTCGCGGGCATCGCGCACGCGCGCTGCGGTCGATAATGTGCGGTACGGGCGAGTACCGCGGGTCCCGCATCGCCTCCACCATCGCCGCCGCCTCCACCTCCACCGTCGGCCGCTCAGCTGTTTCTGTTTACTAAACAAAGGAGCCAGTTCAACGCTGGATGGCGAACGGCGCGTTCGCGCGCGACGCCACTCGTTCTCCGCACGGGACGACGACGACGACGACGACGACGGCGTACGTTCGAGTCCGCGCGACGCCGTGAAGTCGCTGGCGCGACGCGACGCGACGCGACGCGACGCGCGATCCGCGGGAGGGTGTCCTCGCCTGTGAGCGCCGTAGGCACGCATGCGAGGGAAATAAAGCACTCGGGGAGTGTGCGACTACTCCGGCGCACCGACCACGGCGTACGCGGAGCGGCGGCCCGAGGTCCGTAGGGCGGCGCGCAAACAGTGAGTAAAAATAAATAGGCGACGTTGGCGTCCAGGGCCAAGCGGACGCTCGTTCCCACCCGCCCGCGCGCCCGCTCGCTCGCCCGCCCGTCCGCCCGCCTGGTCCTTGACACGATTCCCGACACGCGTCGGGTTTTAACAACCCTCCGGGATTGCATGGGCGCGTATTCCCCGTAGCGACGGGAGCCTCCGCGCCTCCGCGCCCATACGGAAGCGGTGCGCGCTCGACCGCGCGCGCGTCGCTCGTTACGCTCGCGCTCGACACGCAACGCGGCCCGATGTCGCGTTCGCGTTTTTAGATAGACGACGCGGACACGGTCGCGCGCCCGGGTGGCTCTTTGTTCTCATTTTCCTTTTCTCTCTCTCTCTCTCTTTTCGACAAGAGCCCCGCCGAACACCGGGGCCGATATGGATTCTCGACGCCGCCGATACCGTTCGACGCATGTGTAATGGAGTCGAGATCCGCGAGGTCTTCTGCGTGGGATTCCCCCCTCCGACGGGACTCGTGTTCCTTGCACTCGCGAGCGCGTCATCCGAACGGTGGCGAGCGTAAATCGCACCGCCGCGGTTCTTGAGGAGGAGAGCCTATCGGCTCTCGCTGATTACACATCCGCCGAGCGGTATCAGCGATTAGATCTAATTGCAGGACGCTCGTCGGGGAGGCCGACGTGCAACTCACGTTGCTCTACAGGCTGATTCAGTTAATATCGGCGTCTCTCTCCGGCGCGGCTCTCTTTTTCACGACGGCTCACGGCGGAACGACGACAATGAAACGCTCACAATGGAACAATGACAATTTTACGAAAACCTATCGCGCAATTATTGCATATCGCGTAGGCGCGAGGCGTTCGGTTCTTTTTCTTCTTTCGTCGTAAAACAATAATGCATTTTGATTTCGGCGTCGCGCTATAGACGTAGCATAGTGTAACTAGCGGGTCCACTCTCTGTCGGCCCCTTTGATCTTTGCGGTCACGTGGTACTGCGCCATGCACTCGGGCAGGAGCCCAGCGACACTACCGCACGTACATATGTACAACTGTTCTCTCATTAGTCTGCCCGGAACAATGTCGGATGCGCAGATGGGATCGACGGAAAACGAAAGAAACGACGGAGTGGACCTACTGGTTATACCATAGTAAAACTAGTACACCCGCTCTCCGTCGGTCCTTTGATCTTTTCGGTTTCGATCACGTGGTATTCCGCCATGTTTTCGGTACAAAATCCTGTCGCACTGTCACACTGATTTCACACTACCACATATACCACATCCGTCTCATTGGCTCCACCAAAAAAATGGCGTTTAATACATTATATATAAACAATTATGTATATAATTTACAAGTATATATAATTACTAGTAAAATGTGTGGTAACATTTCAAGAAACTCTTTGAAATGCCGCGTTGTTCCACATATAAAAGAGAAAAAGAGATCGCAGAACACGCGAACGCGCGTCGTGCATGGTCGATTTCTGGCTTCTTATATATCTGCCTTTTATATCCGAATCCTCCTGTTTTGCAATGGGCTTGGCTACCGATTGTAAATCGATTGCACTATTTCCGTTTATGATCGCAACGGAGAAACCGCCTTTCCGTTACTTACGTTCCTTAAAACCGCGCACCGTTCTCCTTTTCTTCTCTCTCCCTTGTCCAGGAGACTAATTGTACACTGAAAAAAATTTCTGGTTGAATATGGACGAATCAGATAATTCCTTTAGGATTTACTTTAGGATTTCTGTAGGATTACAGGAATTCTGGTAAATCCTAAAGGAATTCTAGTAAATCCTAAAGGAATTATCTGATTCGTCCATATTCGACCAGAAATTTTTTTCAGTGTAGGACTCCGCCGCTCGCATGCGAGGTTTTCGACGGTTATCGCGGTTACGCGATTAATTCAGCGCTTTAAAATACGATGGAAATTATATTATTGCAAAGCGACACAATTATTACTAGGGTCACTCACTCCGGGCAAAAAATGTCCGCGGTATATTGCGTAATATTTAAACGAAGTAGAAAGTAGACGCCTACGATTACAGCTGAAATACATATAATTTATGTAATAGCTCGTACAATTTTAATACTCGCGTTAATAGTTAATAATTTGGGAATTGTTACGAATAGATAACGCGTCGGGGCTCGGCCGGTCTCCGCTCGCGTCATTGTATTTTAGCAGCTTACGCAACTGTCAGCGAGCCCGTTTACTGGCAAAGACGTCTCCGAACGCTTGATCGTCAATTGCGTAATCGAATTCCGACGTGGCAACTCAGTGTCTGCCGTGGTCGTTTAATTGTTCGACAAATGCCTACGACTGCACCTCCGTGGAAAGAGACTAATGCCCATTTTCTACGAATGCAGATTAACTTTAATCCCGGCTTAACTAAGTTTTTACCTTTTTCCAATTCCTGAAACTGGAAAAAGGAGAAAAAGGTAAGTTAAACCGAGATCAAAGTTAATCTGCATTGGTGGAAATAGACATAAGGCAGAGAACGATCCGCTTAAGTCTGTCTCAATGCACATTTCTATCAATGCAGATTAACTTTGATCTCGGTTCAACTTACTTTCTATCTTTTTCTAGTTTCAGGAATAGGAAATATAGATAAACCGTAAGTTAAACCGGAATTAAAGTTAATCTACATGAATAGAATTAGTTGGTAGAATTGGACATTGGTCGTAGGCGTAAGGCAAGGCAGGGAAAAACGTAAGTCGTATACAATAGCCTTTCACGACTCGCATTTTACTCTGCCTTGCCCTACGTCTACGACTAATGTCCACATCTGCCAATGTAGTTTACTTTTAATCTCGGTTTAAGTTATTTTCCATCTGTCTCCAACTCTTCGAACTAAAAAGAGATAAACAGAAAGTTAAACCGAGATTAAAGTTAAAAACTGCATTGGTAGAAATGGACATAAGACAGACTTAGGCCCGGTTTCACCAACGTCGTTTATCTTTTATCTTCGCTTAATTCATCTTTTGCAACGTTCGTACCGCAACCTTGGTAGCCGAAAGATTCCAAGGTCGAAATGGGAAAGTAATTCACGCGTAATTACGGAATTTCGCGCTGCTCGGTTCCGGCGCGTCTTAAAGATTGATGAACACCGTATATTTTAATCGCAATTAGCATTTACCCCGCGATATCGGCAATATCAAGATAAGTCGCGGATAAGAATGAGGAAAAAAAATACAGAATTTCCCACATTTTCCTCTTTCCTGTTGCACGATGAGAATCGTGCCGCCTCGCGCAACGTATATTTATTTCTTTATTTCTGATTAAATTACAAAATCGAAAAGGTGAAAGTCACGGCGCGGTGAGATCCGCAAAAATTTTTTGGAGAGCGCATTTTTAAGCGCGGAACGGCGCGGAACGTCGCTGAAGTGTGATAAATACGCAAATTATTCTGACATTTACGACGCGGCGCGGCGCATCGTTTCGAAACGCGTAGTTGCGCTTTAAGACGTGTTTGCGATCTAATCAGTTTCACGTTCCATTGACAGCAGTCCTTTCATTCGCGATGATTTAACGCCCTTGTGCAACGAAGTCTATCCTCGCGGCGCATTAAACAGCTTTTTTCATACAGTTTCAGCCGGTAAGATATTATGTAAACGAGAGAGAGAGAGAGAGAGAGAGAGAGAGAGAGAGAGAGAGAGAGAGAGATATATATATATATATATGCGGTTTGAGTTTCTTTATCGTAAAATTTTTGGCAAGAAATAATGCATCTGTGACTGTGTATCGCAGTAATTATTAATAATATGTGGTACGTTGTATCCTCGATATGTCTTCCGTTTGATGCCATCGTGATAAACGAGCCAGAACCGCGAGCAAATCGCGGATTTAGGTGCAACCAGAACGAATGTTCTCGTTAGTACGCGCTGAAGAAATCCCGCGCGCTGATACTGATTTTCCGCTTACGATAGCGTGACTCCGTAGGATTTTCTGCCGGATGAATATTCGAAACTTCCTGTTGCTCCTCGCGAGGTAAAGAAAGTGGATTCCACCTCGGGCATTTTCTGCAGGCGAGCATTTGTTTCTAACGCCACGCGCGCCGAGTGCAATTGAAATTGAAATCCGACAAGCGTACGTATTCAGATAAGTGAAAACAAGAGCGATAAGAGTGACTGAGTCATCCAGGCATCGGATTGACGATAGAGAATTAATACGCAATCACGGAGCGCAATATTTGTTGGTAAATACCTTCTCTGGTACCAATAAAACGCGAGCGCTTGCCAAAGCGTGACGCTTGAAGCACACTTTGTTATCTCGACGAGATAGCGGGGAACCTTGATTCGTTGAACGGAATTTCGTTTGTCACGCGATTTCGTTTGCGCGATAGTAAACGCGTTTCACGCGCTTTGTACACGTTTGACCGCGACGACCGTCGCACATACAGGTATTTAGCCGATTTAGCTGGTCAAACGTCGATTTCGCGAAACTCACTCCAGATAGAAATAAATTGATATCTGACGAAGCTAAATAGACAGGAAACAATAGACGACCAATTTCTCTTCCCCTCCGCATAACTATGGGGGCGCGTGATCAGTTGCAACTTGATCGTCTTAAATCGTACTTTTCTTAATAAAATTTAACCCCAACTTATTTAAAATACAGTAAATTAGTAGGAAAACGTGTCTCTTGAACTAGATAAACAATAAATATAATTTTGGCCGGTTAGATCGATCAAATACCCATATGTGCGTCGTCGCGGTTGACGCGTGGTATCGCCCGCATAAAGGCTAACGTTTCGTCTGTAACGTAGCAGTGAGCTGCCGTTAAAACGCGCGGCTCCAGCACAGACTTCTGTATACTTCTGGACTTGCTACCAACGACACGCCGATGCCACACACTACTTTATTCACCTAACAAGACATGGCGGAACTCTTGTCTCACTTTTCGGCTCGAAGGTAAGGGCTGCGTTCGGAAATCATCACCCGAGTGCCCTATGTGTGTCATTTTATCTTGGTTGCTCACCGAATGGTAAACGAGGATAAAATGATACACCGGAGCACTCGAGTGACGTTTCAGCGAACGCAGCTGAGCAGTCCAGTAGTATGTAGAAGTCTGTGGGCTCTAGCCGAGCTGAAAAGGGAGCAGCCCGCAGCGACGTATAGCGTTCCAGTGAACGGTCCATCCGGTACACACCAGGTGCTCCAGAACTACTGCGCGGAGCGCTTTGGCGGAGCGCACGATTGTTCCGTAAACGTCGGGCCGTAAACAGGCTTTGATCTCGCGCGCTTGAAAAATTAGCTCTGGAACGAGACTCGAAACTTGACTGTTCCGCGAAAGGAGGCGGAGATTTGCATCTACCGAGGGATCTACGATCGAAGTAATCCGCGCTCTTCCTCGCCGCGATCTTCTTCCACGCGGCACCCCGTGTATATCTCTTCTCTCCTCTCGTCGGCGCCGCTTTCTCATACGCATCGATTTAATTGCCGTGCGCCGATGCGAGGCGTTTTTAGGAGTCGAGAAGGGAACCGAGAGAAAGAGCACAACGTCTAATTGTGTAGAGGACTCTTCCAAAGTTGATTGTACGGCGAGGCAAGCGGGATCGAAGATGTACCGCTTATCGATTATCGCCGACAACGGCATCCGTTGTGCGTCTCAGAATCTACAAAGACGCGCAATTGTCCATGAGTGAACTCATCTATTTGCTATTTTCATTTGAATCGACAGGTCCGTCTCTTCAAATATCAAAGAAGGCACTCCGTTATCTGCGCATCTATGCGACGCAGATGCGAGTGATAAGAAACGCGACGCTCATCCGCGTCCTTCGTAACTCTGTCGCTTTTTGAGCTGCGCATTTAACGTAATTTCAACAATTACGTGACGCACGAGGGATATCTATCGCGCTCCGGCTGATGGAACTGCGAGCGACAGCGACTTCGGAGTCCGCTTCGCCCAGTGCAACAAAGGTACGGACAGAGGCGGGCAAAGTCTGGGGGATACATAGGTATACCCGGTACGTGCATTCACAATGCGCTGCCGGGTCGCGCGAGCAGAGCGCACGGGCAACCTTGAGGAGGCGAGTAATATTCCGCGCGGCTCTCGGCCGCGCATTTGCGCAGCAGAGAAGCGGGCCGGACTCTCGTCAATGTTTCCTCATCGGTTTTTCTAGAGGCGAGGCGGAAAAGTGGCGTTCCGCTCCGGCGCGTTTTTCGCGCTTTTAGCTCTCATTTCGCGACCGGTGAAAGGACAGGCCCGCGCTACGGCAAAGCTCCCTCGCTTACCTAATCCGTTGTTTCATTTCCGCGATGCAGCGTCCCCCTGGGAAGAACAAAAGGAGGAGACGGGGAGGGAGGGAGAGGAGGCGACACAGTGTTTATTGCGCTCTGCAATGTTTAGCGACGGCAGACTTTGTCATTCTCTCTCTCTCTCTCTCTCTCTCTCTCTCTCTCTCTCTCTCTCTCTCTCTCTTTTTACAAACGGATCTCTTTTGCGGATACGAGTGTCTCGCAAACAATTAATAAAGTTACTTTACTGCATTGTTTGTATTTTGCACAATGACTTTTCGTATTTTCTGTTAGATACAACGCAGCTAGAACGAACAGCCAGACCATTAGGAATGAATTCACGTAACGGATCGGTTGTGCAAAACCTAAACGTGAAAATATACATATATATATATATATATACTCGCCAGAGCCTCTTGCACTCGACGACTCGGTTCCGTTTCTTTAAATTTCGAAGGTTTATCGCGCCGTCAATTGCGCACGTGAATTTATTATCGTCCTTACACGCTTTCCGACCCCGGAATCTCCGGAGTGTGGAAGTGCGAGAGGATAAATCTAGCTTAAACGTCCTACGTCCCGACGGCAATGCAATTTGCTCGCTCTCCGTTTCGGGGAAATTAATTCACGCGGCAATATTGCGTGTGATGGACGACTTGGGACTTTCAGAACTCCCTTCGACTGGATTATTATTATTTTTTTAATTCTGATTGCGGCGTTACGCCTTTTTTTGTTCCGAGAGAGGGGAAAACGCATTTACGCGTACCATCAGGCCGGTCCTGGATGGTTATGCCGGACTCACCCGTGAAGCGAGAATACCAGCTAAAAACCCCTCTCTTTTGGACCATCCTCCGCACTATAGACGAATCTCCCTCGGAACCGCCTGCGAAGGCATTCTTCAAGGAAGCGGCGTTACGCCTACGTTTCTCTCTCTCTCTCTCTCTCTCTCTCTCTCTCTATATATATATATATATATATATATATCTCCCCCTGTCTCTCCTTGTCTCTCGACTTGCGAGGGGAATCACGGAGAAGGTCAGCCGCGTCTTTTCCGGTGCTCACGCATCGTGCAAACGCAACCCGACTGACCCACTGCGCCGACGATTCTCGCTGACATTTCGTAACCGTCACCACTGGTCGTATATTTAGCGTTACGTTACGCGTGGCCACTGCATAGAGACAGAGATAGAGATCAACATCATCAGACACAGATCTCAACATCAACATCGAGAAAGCCACTCATCAACATCTGTCTCTGTGACAATCATCAACATCAACACAAAAGAGATATTATTCATTATCATTAATCAACATCAATATTGAGAGAGATAATACATCAAGAGACATTTCATCAACATCGAGACACGTTCATCAACATCTAGAAAGATGCCGTTCGCGAACTGCATACGCTATAACTACGTGCCTATCAATGTCCTCTCTGTCCGCAGTTTTCTCCTCGTATAATTCTCTCATTTCGCCTGGCTTAGTTTCTCCGACAGGCAGGAACGAGACTAGCTAAAAGAAATGCCTGGTGAATACACGTGTCCACCGGAGCACCTCTTTTATTCAATCGCGGGTCGTTATTTAATTTTAACAGTATCAATGCTACGTGAATCTTCCGCGACAAGTTAAATCGTTTTCATCGCAGCACGTCACGTTCAACTTGTATTTGTATACTACTTCTGCCAAGAGTTAGCCCACGTTTCATCATCAGTGCCTGAAGTTTAACATTTACAATTCTTTAATCCTGTATTATTATATGTTCCCTTTTTTTACGAGAGTTGTAAAAGCGATACACAAACTTATAACTTATAAACTTGAGTGGCTTTGGCCACTTTTTCGGTACTTGTTTATACTGTGCAAATTTACCTTAAAAATTTTAATACCTATAATATATAAGAATCATAAAAAATAGAAACATGGCAACAGGTATTTAAAATTTTAAGGTAAATTTGCGCAGTATAAGTAAGTAACGAAAATTGGTCGAAGTCACCCAAGTTTACGGTACTCTCTAAAAGTCAGTCAGTGGATCATAACTGAAAACAGTGAATATTCACTGATTCACAGTCAACTAAATTATACACATTCACTAAATTATTCAGTGCTGTACTTATAACTGTTTTCAGCGATAATGCACTGATTGACTTTTAGAGAGTACGTTTGTTTCTTTTTTATCAACGTTTCATGTGCATCTGTGAAATCGTTTGCGCCCCACGTAGACTCCAGCCTGGAGCTCTCGAACACTCTCGCACCTCGCTTTCGGCGGTCGCCAACAAAACTATCTCGCGAATCGAAACACATCTGCATCCAGCGTGAAATTACACAAACGTAGAGAGTGAATCTTGGCTCGTACAATCGTACTCCACTCGCGCGCGGCTTCCGTAAATCGTAAAAAGGCTGTGTTTAGATCCACGCACGCGGCGCGTTTCACTCTTGCTTTTCCATTTTATCGCCGCGCTGCCGCGGATGTACGCGCGATTTGTAAGTGGCGTGATTTCACGGGCGAATCCAAAGCGCCGCGCGTTAAGCAACACGCTCGGGAAACACGCAATCGTTATCGTCGTGCAAATTATTCCCACACGTGGGCGATTACGGTGAAAAATCCTCACCGCGCGGCTCTTGCCGTCATTTTACGCGCAAGCGCTTGCCTCGCGATACTCACGTTCTCGACGGGGGTAAATTAATTCCAATTGCGTATATTTTATTTATTTTTTCCATTTCATCGCGTGCACGCGTCCGCAAGACCGTCCGACGTAACGCGCGTTGCGTCGGCCGCGTTTCCCGCGGCGGCGGATTCGCTTTACGACAGAAACGGGGCGATCCTCGGAGACGTGTCCACTGACCGTTGCGGACTTTCGCGACTCCCGGTATCCCGTTGATAGAGCAACGCGCCTTCGTCACGACTCCAATGCGCCCGTAACGCGGTGCAATGCACGAGAGGTCTCGCTAGAGACCCTCTCTTTCTCTTTCCTTCTCCGCGTTTCTCTCTCTTTCTCTCTCTCTCTTCCTCGCGAACGCGCGCGAAGCCGCGGAGCGGAGAAAGTTAATTTCGCATGGCCGTTGAACCGATATCGCCGCTATTACGCTCAGGGGAAGCGGAGAGTAACCGCGGTTAGACGCGGTTAGACCAATTTGCCGGCTTCTAGGCCAGTCACGTCTTATTCGATCCGAGCCGAGAGCCGTCCGCTCGACGTCGATCAACCGACGCCGCCGTTCGCGCGCCCGTCGGATCGAAACTAGCGCATCCCGAATTAACCTCACTGATCGCGCTCGCTGCTCCAGCCGCCTGCGCCCCAGCGTCGCTTATGCCCGTTCTACACCTAGGAATGATCCTATTTGTGGCTCATCCGAGTGGAGAAGCTGACACGGGCATTTTAATATGACTGTCATACTTAACCACGTATGGTTTTTGTATGATTTCACTATGATTGTTAACCATCTTCTTATGTAGAAATGGTACCAGAGTCCATAAACGGTCTCAGTACGACGATCTTTGTCCATTTATTTACTCATTCGGATGAGCCACAAGTAGGAACATCCCTAGGTGTAGAACGGGCATCTCATGTTCTCCTGATACTTTGCCATTTTCTCGATTCTCGATTTTCGCGATTTGAATTTGGAAATTCTCGGAAATCCAATTCTTGGAATTTTAGATAGTGCCA